TAAAATTTTGCAGTATATTTTGCTAAAAGCTTTTGTATCATTTTTTTAGTTACCTCTGCACAATACTTTTTCTAGAACTAATTTTTACACTAAAAATATAAATATTTGTTACTCACGATTATAAATATTTTGCTAATGATGTGCAAAAATAAAAAAATTTGTTGTGAGAAAGTAAATGAATATATATAATGGGTAATTTTCTAAAAAAATTACTGCAAAAACCTTTAGAAAGTTATAAGCGGGAATGTAAACCCAAGTCCTATAAATAGTTTCCACACGTTGTAATTACTAAATGAACTAATTTATCTAACAAAATTTCAATAACTAAATAAAAGTAGTGATTAAATATTGTAAAATACATGGGGGCTAGGGAGACAACAGAAAGGAAGGTTAATCGTAAGATTGGATTTTATTTTCTTTTTACTTTTTTATTTTTTAAAATTTAATATGCTGTTACTTTATTATTGGTTGTGCTAAATATTGTAGTATATCCATTCAAATTTAACTCCTTTACGAATATAAATACTTTGAGTACATAATTTGAGATTTTTTTTTTATATCATTGTAATTCAATTTTACTTTATTCTCTCGTTAATATATTTATAAATGTATTTGCCGTTTTTTTTTTTATGTACGAGAGATAAAGTTAAAATAATGATTTAGCAAATAGTTTGTTATTGTAATTGAAGTTTTCGGATTGAAGATCATACTCAAAGGTTTTCGTTGTCTTTTAAAGATAATTCAGTGTCAACTTAAGTTGCATCCAATATTTTAGTGTTGGTAGAAACAAAATAAGTCTAAAGAACTGCTTATTCATATACATTTTTAAAGACATTGTCCATAACATATTGTTTTTTAAGATTTGTTCCCTAGTAGTAAAATATACCAAACTAAGTTATAAATTTAATTATATACGTGTTCTTTAACGTCGTTAATTTATTTCATAGAGAATGCAACTACAATGCCTGGTTAGGATTGGAACTACTCAATTGGACAACTCCATTATTAACTCACGGCTTGTAAAACCGAAGGCCTCGTTTACGTTATAATAATGCGTTTTGATTAAATTTGAAGCAAACTAAAAGAATCCAAAAGGGTTGGTTCTTCTATAATTATGTTCTTTGTACAGGTCTTTACACTGAATCCTGCTGCAATCATAGTTTGCCAGATTAATATTCTTAATAAATAAATTACTGTTATGAATAATTATACCAGAGAATGTCTATTTTCTTAATTTTTTATATTTTTCATAATTTTTAATTTTATAACCATTTTATTTAAATTTAAATTAAAGAGATGGTATTCTTTGATTATAAATTTAAGCCTATAAAAGTATTTTATTTTTATTGAAGCGAGTTGATGGAAAATAAAATTAAAATTCTTTCTTCTTTATTTTTTTACTTGCTTTTTATAAATTACTTCTTCTTTTTAAAAAACTGAACAAGAAAAAACAACATATTATACCGTGTAATAAAATAGAATAAATAAATCTAGAGACTACTGGCTCATAATTATATTGAATGGCTCAAAATAAAATTAATTTTACTCACCTATTTTTCATTAAAAATTTGGTGAGACTACTATTACACAAACGTGGTTTCATGGTTGTATATTTAGTTTATATCATCAATGCATAAAAATGCTGATTAAATAATTTTTTATTACTTAGCAATAATTGTGTACCTCAGTTGGATGTATAGCTCCAAAATTTAAAAGGACAAATATTGGAAGTGGAAACATTAATGTGGGGACAACGACACCTGGGAAATATTCAAACGACAATGCCTAATGAATGCAAGGGCCAGACATGCTTCCCGCTCAGAACTCTCCCTGCAATACAATATTTTATTTTAAAAGAGGGGATAGTTATTAGTAGTTCGAAAATTTGCTGCACTTGACAATGAAATTAAGAAAATAAAGTTTTTTTATTATTAATTCTTTTTAATCACAAAACTTTAACTCAATTTTATTTAAAATGAACAATTCTTAATATTCAATCCGATTTTATTTATATGTTTTTTTAACTATATAATGACTAAGGTGTTAATTTTAAGAAAACAGTCACAGGATTTTAAGTTTATTCTCGTTTACAGTTAAACCCTATTAAATAATACTAACCAATATTTTAAAATACTAATAAATAAAAAAACCAAAAATATTATTGATGTACCTTCCACCACGTCAAATACTATCAAAATATTATTAATGCATTTAGTTAACATTTGATTATATCAAATATCACTAATCCATCAAAAGTCTCTTAAGAAGTATTATAAAAGGAATTAAAAAATAAAAATCAAGATACCATTTCATAAATATATATTTTAATAATCTAACTATATAAAATATAATTTGGTCCCTTGATTAACTACCTAAACAAATTATCAAAATTAAATAAGAAACTATCGTTAGCAGAATTATTATTTTTATCTAAAAAAGTTGCATATTTAGGTTAATTTATTTTATAATTTCTTAACAAAAATAAAAAAATCAAACACTTGCATTTACCTGCTGCGGGGTTACTGGCAGCGCCGCATGTTCTAAGCTAATGGGGATTATTGAAGAAACTTTGACCGGGAGAAAGGGTTGATGTAAGAGAAAGAAAACAAAATTGCCTTAAAATCTTATTTATTGGTGCAGTTTGGGTCCTGCTCAGAAATTGACCCCGCTTTAGGCGTCCAAACCAATAAAACTAGTCAATTAAACCACACTCCTTCCAATTATGATATACAGGTGTTTTTAAGAATATTAATTGAAAGTTTAATTCTTTAATGTGTTTAAGAAGATCTATTGTTGAATTAATAAACAATAATTTTATTAAAATTATAATATTTAATGCTATTAATGTATTGTATAATATGATTTTTATAATTTTTAATAAAAATTATATATAAATTTATATTATGTGTATGTTAAAATAGACATCAAAATATTTGTTAAATTAGACCATTGGTATTTTAATTCATAATTTTATTTTAGCTTTTTTTTTTTTTTATCATTTTAATTATAAGGGTGCTTTAAATAAGTTTTTATTTATGTATATATAAAATATTAATTTCGTTAAAAAATTACTATCGATTATTTTTTTTATGAATTTTAATAAGAACTTAATATATTTTAGTAAATTTTTAATTGTCTCATTTTTTTCTTCTTTTTATTTATATTTTTTTCTTTCAAACTCTAACAAAAAAATTATCATTTTCTTTTCTTTTCTTTTATTTTTCTCTTTTATCCTTCGTCTATAATTTTTTCTTCAAATTTCGATAAAAAATTTCTCTTATATCTCTTTTATTAGTAGGCCTTAAGTTTATAGGAGAAGACACAAAAGATGGACAATGACAGTAATATTAAGGCTGATTTCTTATTTGCGCTTAAGTTTTCAAATATTTATATTTTCAAAAAAAAAATTAAAAATAAGATTTTTTTATTTTTAAATTTAGACTAGATTTTAAAAATGTTTTTGAAAAAATATTTTCTAAAACACAGTCAAACCAAAATCATAGTTATAGTTATTTACAGAGTCAATCAGTTCCCTTACGTAATTATAGTTGAAAAGACAATAACCTTAACGTATTATAGTTGTTATAATTTATAACTAATGATTCTCATTACAGTAATCGTAAAGGCATATGATACGTTACAGACTCTTCAATTATACTCTGTTTCCCGATTTCATTTTATGGCCTGCAAGCGCGATGGTATATTCTTTTTTAAACTCTCCACCCATTTTACTTAAGTGAAATGTATATTTACAATGATAATTGAAAAATACGTTTAATTATTGAATAAAAATTAATAGTTGAAATTATATATATATATTAATAGTTGAGATTATTGGAGCCATCCAAACACCTAAACGGGGCAAGTCAGGTGATAATTGAAGTTCAATTCAGCATGGTGTTAATGCCCCATACTGCATATCTACCCTTTCCTCGTTGGACTTTTTTGAGATGCATGTGAGTGGTTGAACAAGAAAGCTTAAACAAGAAGAGATTTGAATCCAGGGCTAGATAAAATACAAGGTGAAATTACTGGCATGAAAAAGAATCTGACATATCTTAATGAAAATTAGGGCAAAAAAATTGTAAAGGGAGTTTTAAAAAAGTAATTTATATGCTTTTTTAGAATGGATGAACCTCAGATTGTAGATCCAGCATGCTAGAAAAGTCATAACCTTTTCCCTTTTATTTTGTTAAAAGGGATAAAGATCTTACCCACCACAACATCATGTGCCCACAGTTAACAAAATAATAATGATAATAATAATAATGGAAAGAGAATTCCTGTCATTGTCCTACATGAGGAGAGCGTCACATGGATTCTTATTACAAAAATATAATGCTTTTATAATGTCATCCATTTGTTTCCTTCTCTTGTAATTTTATTCGATCTAAGTAATGGCGGTTTCACTCATAATAATACCTTCAACAACATGCAATCGGCTTACATTAAAACTAGTAGACAGGATTTTTTGCTGATGGGTTGTTTTGACCCTTCATTAGGAGTTGTTGGCCTAATTAGAGTCTTCACCTTAGCTTATCAGCATCAGCTGTGTCTATTCGTGCCAACAACTTAGGTGAAATCCGAGTATGGGGCATAGCCATGATTCTCTGTGCATAAAGGGTCAATCTTACACAACCATCTGCTTTTTCACATAAACTTAACTTCCTGTTGGATTAACAGCGAGAAAAACGCCTTACACAAATCTCAAATGTACCTCTCAGAGACTACGTTGTCTTGGTCGTAAATGAAAACTTCTCCAAACCGCCCCAACATGGATTTTAGCGTTAGCAGGATAATTGCCAAAAAGATGAACCAATCCGCGAATTACTCAGTTTTAGAATGTCAACTCACAGCCGATACAAATAATCTCTAAGGACCAAAAAAAGAAGATATGATAAATAGCCTTTTCCCGTAGGATCAAGCATGCCAGTGTTTTACTTCACTTCTCACAATGCTTAAAATAAAATAGGCATAACCCATCAAGAAAGAACTTCAGAAAATTCATCTTTCATTGATATACAATGGTTTATGTACAAGTTACAGTGTGGTGAAACAAACATCAAAACATATTCTCTTCAACCACCAATAAGCATTTGCTCACCGGGGTGACATCTTCCAAGTACTCAAAATTAGTAAAAATTTACAATTCCAAACAAAAGCTAACATCTAACTAATTCTTAGACATCAGTATCGCAAAATTTTCCATCCATCCTGTTCTGAACAGCTTTCACAGCAGCAACTCTAGCAGCAGTTGCAGCCTTGTTAGCAGCGATTACTGCTTTGTTAACCTGATCATCAACCCGCCTAAGGTTTATAGCATTCTCTGCTGTTTTCCTGGCAGCCTGCAATTCAACCCATCAAAGAACACAACATGTCTGAATGAGAAAACACCAACATTTGTAAAGGAATTATAGCAAGAACTAAGTATCAATAACAAATACCTGAACTGCTCTGAGGACAGCATCAGATTGTGGTGGTAGAGGATGCTTGAGGTTGCCAGCATCCCATTCACCACACCTTCTGTCGCCGTTTCGGAAAGTATATGAGCCAATACCTTGCCTACGACCCTCATGCCATGCTCCCTCGTAGCAGTGTCCATTGGCAAAGTGGTAAACCCCAAATCCATGTATTTTGTCTCCAAAATACTCTCCAGCATATCTATCTCCATTTCTGCAGCATATAAAATAGTTGAAAAACTACTCCAAAACCTGTTATTTTCTACCATAGTTTCCCATGAAACAACACATGTTAACTAAAAGAAAAAACTTTGCAATAATTCCATCAGTGGACAAAATACACAACTCATTGCCAGATCATGTAATGGAAGACACATATCAAACAATTGAACAATCAAGACATCCAAATTCGAGACAAGTCAAAACTGAGAAGTGAAAACTAGAAGCAGCATCTCATAAAGTGGCAAAATCCAAGAAATAACAAACGGAGGAACAGAACAAGGGACACCGATTCCATCGAAGAAATCCTTAATTAAAAAAAAAAAAAAAAAAAAAAAAACAGAAGCAGAAAGAAAAATGGGATCTTGAAAACAAGAAACCCATTCACCCAAGAAACCGATTGACCAAAGAAACCAATAGAATGTTAAAAGTGAAAAGTTATAAGAACCCAACACAGAATTAACAGTATAAAATGAAACCACGGAGAAGGTAGCAAACAGACCTAAAATGGTAACAACCAAGTCCGTGCTTGACAGCATACTTAAACTGACCAATATAACAGCTAGCATCGGAGCAAGTCTGAAGTCCCATACCATGACTCTGACCATTACACCATTCTCCAGCATAAGAATCACCGGTGTAGAACCTGTAAACCCCATAACCATGCCTCAATCCTTGCCTATACTGACCCCTATAGCGACTCCCTCTGGCCCAGCTCTCAATCCCATACCCATCATACCTTCCATCAACCCAATCACCCTCATACCTCCCATTCACAAAGTAATTGTAAACCCCACTACCATTACTCCTCCCCTTATGAAACTCCCCCTCGTAGAAATCCCCATTGCTGTAAAACTCCACACCTTCCCTTACTATCTTCTCCTTCTTCACCTTCGTTGTTCCCCCTGAGTCACCGATAAACCACTGAACCGGCTTCGCCTGCGCCTTCGAAAACCCCAACCGCTTCACGTGCTCCTCCCACGAATGCTTCACCACCGAAAGCGACCGGTGGATGAGACCCTTGTTCTTGGACGCGAAGTAGAGTGCCACCGCGATGAAAATCAGCGCCAGCAACACGTTTTCCGAGGTGGGAACCTCGAGGTAGAAGAAGTAGATGAGGTAAATGGAGAAGGAGGAGGCGCACAGAAAACCGAGCGAAGCAACCGCCAGAACCGGAGTGGTTACCCGGCTCGAACCGGTTCGAGGGGTTTGGGGTTTCTTGTTGTTTTTCTTGTTCTTGTCGTCATAATCGAGGAGGAGTTCGTCTTTGTTCATGGATGAGAGGCTGTGAATGGATGATCGAATTGTGGGGGAAGAACTGAGGAGCGAGGAGTGGGTTCTGGTTAGCTTGCTCTGGCTCTTCGGATGCTCCATTTTCTCTCTCTCAATTGGATCTTCTCCTCCGGTACCGGGATATTCTCACCGCCGGCAACATCTCACGGAGGAGCACCGCAACCACTCACGCGCTACCATTCAACTGTCACAAAACACACAACCACACTCCACTGAACGCAAATTAGAACGCTTCTCGTTGTTATTGTTATTATTATTAAGAAAATGTGAAAGGAAAGAGAGGGTAAAAATGAAGAGAGCGGGGAGTGGGTGCCGGGTTTGGTGTATTTATGGAGCGATAAGAGGGGAGGGAGTTAGATTCAATATTGGCCGTTGGATTCTGAGATTGTGGGGTTGGGTTTTTGGCCGTTGGATTGGGGAAGAGGCGTCTTGACGGGTAGATATGGTCGTCGGATCTGGGTTGATTCAGCGTCGTGCCTTTTTCGCTTTACTGTAGCAGACCGCCACGTGCCGACTCACTTTTTATGTTATGTTATTCTTCCATGTGACTCGTTCCCATTAGGTTAATTTTAGCCCCCACGTTCATCTCAATCACTCTTCATAGCCATCTTCTCCTCAAGCTTTATATTAATATAACTATTTTTTTAGGCTAAATTGATACATCATCTTTACCCTTTTTCAAAAATGTATGATATATCTCATATTGAAATAAGTATAAATATCGATAAATGTAATTCTATCGAATTCAATTCACTATAGATGTGAGTGTAGTTGGCGACACTCCCGTTCATACTTTATTTAATTATTGATTAAGTTAATAAACAACATCTCTCTTTTCTTTCTCTTGGTAAGGGAGGACCAAAAATAGCGACTTGTTTTACTTTATTGTTGTTTACCCTTCTTTGGATCTTAATTATCATCGACCTTTTTGTTTCTTTTTCCGGAATTTTGCTTCCTACACAAAATGATGAAACACCATTTGCATGCAAAATAAGTATCCGCGCATATTAAAGTGCTAAAGACATAAATAGAAGTATAGAACTAACGCAGAAGAGATACAACCCACATACATGCATTCTTTTCTGGCTTACCAAAATAAAAATTCCTTTCTTTTTTTGTTTAATTTGAAATGGGTCACTTCACTACTAGTATCTCTTTTCTACTCTGGTACTAAACAAAGGTGAAGGTAGAAAGTTGTGGTTGAGCATCCGCAACATCCGTGGGTGCATTGAATTTGATTAATTGTAATTCGTATAGTTGGCTTGTTGTTTTACTCCCTCATGTCCACATTAATTTTAAGTTAACTGTTGGCTTCTGCTTCAGTCATGAAGTTAGTCTTTAGAATTCGGGTGTAGTCAAACACGAGTGAATCAATTTTACATTTGAAAGGAATGGGCAAAATATAGGCATTGTAAATATAAAAAGATTTATAAATTAAATGTCATAAAGTTTGGGGTCAACATGTATATAATATTAGATTCATTATCATTCGATGTAGATCTTTTTGACTTGTCGGGCTATCGATCATAATAAGTACACAGCTATCCAAGTTGGATGGTTCGATTGGAACAAATGTTGGACAAAAGCAGGCGATTGATGAATCCATGAGGAGGTCCCTTGTGAGTGAAGAATACGTGCATGTTGAGCCCTTGTTGACACTATCAAATACCTCAAAAGCTTATTTGTATAGTGAATGTTTGTATATTTATAATGTTAGTTGTTATCGTTATTGATAATATGTTGAATGAAAGTTTTTTTCTGCATAAATATCTTAAATCTATTTATACCAAATTGATTACTAACAAATCAACCTCAGTAAAAAGAAAAATTATGCCCAACGAGATCTTTTCAAAATAAATATCCAACGATAACACATTTAATGTTAAACACTTTTTTGGTCAACATATAGTTTATTTTGTAGTATATACGTAAGTGTTTGTAGGGAGATCGTTTTATAATGATATAAAATTTAAGGTTAAGGGTAAGTAATTAAATTAAATATTTATTTAATAAATTTTTATTACATGAGAGTTTATATTGATTGTAAAATTCATTAAATTATAAACAAAATAATTTATTTAATAAATTACTATAAAAGAGTTGTTAAAATAAGTTAAAAAATACAGTTTTTTTTATAATTTTTCTATAAATTCTTTAAAATATTTCTTAAATTTATTCGCATTCTATAAAAATATACTTAATTAAATTTTTTTTTTATCATTAAAATTCGCGTATTTTTAATCTTAGATAAGAGAATATACAATGTGCGACTTCCACTAAATATAAATATTAAATAAGGAATAAACACAATTGACATTTTTAAAAGATTAAAAAAATGTATTTAATAAATTAAATTTACTAGTCATATATTATTATTTATTTTCATATATAGTATTTTTTATCCATCTAAAAGTTTTGCTAAACAATGACATAAACAAAAATTAAGAGCGGAAGCTCCCGTGCGCAGCGACCTAATTTGGAAGCCCTCAACGTCACTCTTTGGATTTCAAACGCCGGGGTTTTTTTATATTTTAAGGTACATTTTAGTCTATTTGCAAGTGTTCTTTATTTTGAGTTTTTATTTTTTTATAATTTTTTAAATGTTAGTCTTTATGATTCTACATCATTAAATTTTAGTTCATAAAGAAATAAATAATAATATTTACTGCTGATTGATAAAAATTATAAGAATTAAAATTAAATAATTAAAAATATAAAGACTAATGCTTAATGATATAAACTAAAAAACTAAATAAGTAAAACTTAAAAACAGTAATATGAGTGAAAACCTAAATGAAAAAAAAAAATTATAATTATAATATACTCATAATATCACAAAAGGGGGGGGGGGGGTGGAAATCTTAGCTGTATATCCTTCACCGGATCTCCTGCCCGTTTGTCAATATTTTTGTTTCTCCGGAAAAGAATTACAATTTTAAATAACCTCTGCATATTCCTAATAGCTGGTATTAACCGTATCATATATTATATTTAAGTGAGATAAAATATATATGTTACAAGTTGATTTATTTAATTGATAGATTTGATGAGTCGTTTTTTTTTTAATTATATAATATGCGAACTAGCCTTTTCGCATTAAAAATCCACCACAAGTTGGATTGACTAACATATCATAACTCATTTTAACAAATTTAATTATTATTATTTATTTTAATATGCTGAGCCTTTGACTTTTAGAAATTATAATACGCTTTGATTTATTCAAGTTAAGTAAATAGATTCGTTTAAGGAACTAAGTTTTTTAGAGAACTCGAAATTAAGATTTTATTTAAGAGACACTGAATTTGTCACGCTTAAACAATAGACATCGAAGAAATGTATTATTATTGATATAACAAGACTGAATTCAATTAATTCATTAACGAAAAAAAGGAAAATAGAAACATGAAAGTTTAACATCATGTTATATACTATACTTCCATGTCAATAATGATATAAGGAAATCGTGGGATAACTAATTATTTGTGAAATAACATGAAAATTCAATTATTTTTATCAGTATAAATTCAATAATATATATATAATGTCATCCATGGCACAAGGAAAGGATAAACGAAAAACAATAAATCTGTGGTTGTGAAATGGTACAACAATAGTGTGATATACAAGCTTGTAACAATCAAAGATGCTTATCCTGTCATCAGATACAAAGTACAAATAATTCATACTTGATTCATGGGTCAACCACGTATTGTCTTGCTCAAGCCGAGCTGGGCCTATTTATGGAAGCACATCATATTTTCACGACTAAGAGCTCGACAAGTTTATTTATTTACATATTGCCTTCTTCACTCTCGTAATGCTGAAATTTTCCCAGAACTTCTGTTAAAAATGCTTTAATTTGAAGAATCAAATTTCTTCTTTGTACGAATAAGAATCGGTAATATTGTATTGTTAGCCATGCATACTAATTGTTCATGATCATATTCTAACTAAGATAAAATTAAGTAGGGAGTTACTGATGAGTCAGTTCTGTCCTCAACAATTTGAAAGCATTTTTTGAACTTTGTTTTTACTTTTTGATTGTAAGAGTTAGTTCTCATGAGCAAAGAGAATTAACATATGACTTCTTACTTCTAGAACTTTATCTAGCATGTCACTATATTTTGGAGGAATAAATTTTTGCATGATGCTCATTTAGGGTTCCCTTCAATCTAATTGTTGTCATTCTCATTAGACTTTTGGCATATTTTCTTTGCCTTTTTGTTACATGAATCTTCTATTTCTCCTAAAAGAATCACTAACATAACTTGGCAATCAACATCTAATGGGTGGCTTACCCTAAATTATTATAAAGCTTGTAAAGAAAATTTGATCCTCGTGGTCTCATAAGGGATTAACATAATAATTGGCTTAAAGGTTACTATCATTATTTAGGACAAACTTCAACTTATAAAACTGAGCTTTGGGGTGTTATAGCCTTTCCATGGCTAAGGAGCTGGACCTGCATAATCTAAGGTTCAGCTTAATTCTAAATCAGTTAGAGGAGTCATTTTAATTAAATGTTTCAGTAATTTATCTCTGTACTGTCCTCTTCTATTCTAAATCGAGATTATTCTACTGTAAATTTGTCCAGCTAATTTAGATTGTCTTTAGCAAATTATTTTAGAGCTTTAACTCCTCCCCCTTAATTGTCTTTCCTTCTTATTACATATGCCATGTACATTCCTTTCTCTAGAGCTATAATTTTGTAGTCTTTCCTTTTACCAAAAAAAAATTTGATTTTCTTATATTATGTTAGTATCAACTTTATTTGATTTAAGGTTTTCTTTTAAATAATACATTTATTTGGATCAAATTAAAAAAAATTATATTTTTATAAAAATCAAACAAATACTTTCTTAGTTCATTTGTAATCGGAATTCAACCCTAGACCACCGTCGCTAGAGCCTCAAATCCATGATCAGTTATTTCGACCTCTCCAAATAATAACAATTTTTGTTGTTGTCAACAAATAACAACTATTTCATCTCTGTAAAAAGATGCTAACGTGGGTTCTTTTCTCTCCATATTACTCTGTAAAGGAATAAAATTTTCATGAGATAGTCGAATTAAGAGATCACCAACCTAAGATATTGTCCTTCAAAGTTAATAAAGGATTTCGATAATTAACGTACATGACAGTGTCATGTTGTACATGTAAAAGAAAAAGACACAACATGAATATAAGAAAAATTCTTATAATTTATGTAGAATTTAATAATTATATTTTTATATCATATTTATCACTAAGACGAAAGAAGCTTGATCAAATATTAAATACAAGATTCAAAATATCTTCGTCCTTGCACGTTATTAGGAGTATTTGTCTCTTCGTAACTCGAGTCTTCTTTTGTTTTTTTACCACTTATATCTTCGCAATGTTTTTTAGGACCTGTTTGTGTAATCTATGAAACTTGGTTCATAAAAATGAACCATTAAATATACTTTATAAAACGTGTCCATTTAACATTAACCATCCTATCTGCAGATGATGTCAAGTCACTGCCATTTAACGTAAATTCAAATAAGTGCTTACATATTACAATTTAAATTATATTTTTTCAAATTTATATGTAATTGACAGCATCATGACATTAATATGCTGCAATAGATAGGATTGGAAGTAATTAAGCATACGATATAATTACCCATTAATAATTGAATAATGGAACTAAGTATCCTGCAAACACAACCCCACGCTTGGACGAAGAGAAGAGAGCCCTGTTGATAGAGGCATAGTGCCTACAAGTCATGATTGATGAGCCAAAATCTAGAATTAGAGTCTTGTCATAGTCATTGTGGGTACATTGGTTGTAGGCTATAAAACGTGTACGATTATGATTCGGCTGTACTGATTGATCGGTACTCTTATCAACCTTGCGTGATTATTTATTTGATTATATAAGATAGCATTCTCAAATAATATTGATGTAAATAAACTCTTGTTCATTGTCCGCATGTCCTTGGCTTTTCAGGCTACACCAATCTTCCTAACAATGATTCATCACTGTGCTTATGTTTTCTCCATTCATTACTGAGTTTTATTTTAATTTTATTTCTACACTTAAAATTTTATATTTAACTTTATACATGTGTTTATTGCTTTTAATTTAAAAATAATAAACAAGTTCAAAGATTTAATTAAAAAAATTTTAAGCACTGTTTGGACTGAAAATTAATAATCCAACAAATATTTTAAATACTGATAAGATTAAACACAATGTGGGACTAAATCCCTATCATCTAAAAGAAACCATAAAACAAAAATTGAAAGGAAAAAAATTTCTATAAAAACTGAATAATAAAACAAAAACCCAAATTTCAAGCGTGTGATCAATTAAAAGTAAGCGAGGAAAGAAGAAATGAAAAAGGCAGAGAACAAATATTCACATTTTGTTTCAATTGAGCCAAATGATTCAAAGAGAAGGGTACAATGACATTCATGAAGAGATCTAAGTATTTTTATGCATAGTAATTCTTACTTTACAAGTCTATTTAGAGACAAAAATGGCTAACAGGATTATTACAACTAGATGACATCTGTACACTAACTTTTCTAAATCATTTTTATACGTGTCCAAAAAATAATATTCTAAAGTAACTGACATCTTATTTTTCTTCGAGTAACTTCAATCTTCAAAGCTAAAAATGCTCAATCTAGCTCGTCATTTGTTCTACTCATTTTTAGTATGAAACATGTTTTTGAAATCTAGCCCAAAGAATTCACAAACGCTTAAATAATACTTCAAACTTCATGAATTAAGTGAAAAAAGAAAAGAACGATATATCTTCCCAATCAAATTAATCTTTTCTTCGACTAAATTTATGAATTCTTGAATGCCACTCATAATTTTTTTAGTGCATATTCAACACATCGGAATGTGATTCATTGTTTTGTTGGGCTATATTTCTCTCTTACTTTTCTTTTAAATTATTATTTTTAGTTACTCTTTTTTTTTGTCAACTTATTTTTTGATAGTCTGAACAGTCAACTTTTCTTTTCTTTTCTTATATTATTTCCATATATTTTATTAGGTGTACTTGAGATCCAATCCAACTAAAAGATAACGGGCTCAATTTGAATTTTAAACGACAAACAAGCTTATTCCGGGGGTTGATAAGAAAAGAGGGGAAAGGAGATAAATAAAAATGTATCATACTTATATAGACGAAATGAGAAGAGTGGAATCCTGGTGAAAATTAAAATGCTCTCCATTAAGCATAACAGGGAAGGGGAAGGGGAAGGGTCAGTGTTTTCTTTCCTTTTTTGGCTTTAAATGTTTAAAAGTAAAAGCATTTTTTTTGTTTTAATTGCCACTTTTTTTTTCACAATTTTTAACAGGGCACTTTATTTGCACCTTTAAAGTTACTTTACTCTTTCCATTCAAATAAAATTAAATCTTTTTTAAATATTATTTTTGCACACAAATCAATTTGTAAAATCAATTCTAATAAAATAATGTTTAAACCAAAGTGCCTTTTATACGTGTAATAATAGCAATTTGAGCATTTTATAGGTATGCTAGTAGTAGTTCACAACTATTACCACCATTAAAAAATTATAACTTTTTCATGACACCTTTGCATCAAAATGGGTTTCGAGTAAAGGTCAAATTGAATATTTAAAATACAAGTTTAACTTGAAAAATATGATACTAAATTTTGACACATTTGTACAATTAATTCAAACCTAAATTTTGACTTGTTAGAAAAAAAATTAAAACTATTTATTTAACTCATTTATAGTTTGATTCTTTTTATTTATTAAATATATTCTTAAAATGTTTTAAGTTTATTAATTATTCATTGAAAATATTATTCCTGTTAAAAGGTGAAATAAAAATAAGAAGAAAGAGAGAACAAAGGAATTAAAGATAAAAATGACATTATAATATTTTAAAAAATATTAAGCATATTTTTTCTTGTTGAAAAAGTAATTCTTTTATCATTAAATATACACACACACACACGTTATGTCATCGTTTAACTTGAATAAAAGCATAAAATATTTTCTTGAACTATACAGCTTCTAATTTTCTTATCAAATGGTTCACTTCCAAAATAATAAAATGCAAACTTCATTACGTTCTATCATAAAATATTAAAGAATGATACGGTAAATCTATTTCATTCCCTCCAGTTACATTTGATCTCAACACTTTTCATTTCATTCCACCCATAAGATCTGCTAACATAACTTCATGTATCACAGAACAAGCACTAATAAATGAAAAAACATTTAAAGGATCGATTTGTCACGTATTCAAGATTAGTTACCCCTGCACTTCTATCAAATATAACTTTCCAAACTGTTCATTTTAAATAGAGTAAATTACACCAACCAACCTAAAGGTTTGGAAATATAACACTTCACCTCATTTTAAAATGAAAATTACACTCTACCCATATTTTACTAACCGTGAAGTAAAGAGGCATTAAATGTAACTATACTAAATAATCATAATAAGCGAAGAGATTAACACTACAGTTACCCGGTGTGAGGATCCATCTTATGTGTGTGCAGCTTCAGGTGGGGGGTTACTAAGGGGTTCTTCAAACTCTGGTAATCCAATAAATTGAATTGAATTGAACCTATGAGATCATCATTGAATGGCAAGGGAGCCTCATTATCTAACTATTAGAAACAGTTTCTTTTGTATTAAATTAACAGAACGTCTGGAGTTTTTCTTTTTTATTTTTTCATTCTTTTTGCATTATGTTAACCTCGCTTAAAAATGGTATATCCTGTCTGTATATTCCCTCAAAATCCATTAACGTTCCAGTCAGTTGGAGAATAGTGTAATTTCGATTTTAAAATGGGGTGAAATGTTATCTTTCCAAATCTTGAAGGTAGTTAGTGTAATTTACTCCTTTATATAACTATCTATCAACTCTACTCTACTTTCTAATGGCAAAAATTAGGTGCAGTACCATAAGTGTTTGCTATGTTGCTTTCTAATCAAAGATTAGAGTTTCACTTGAATAATCTACAAAATAAAGATTAATATTAAAAGTTGACATATATTACTAAAGTAAAACTTTAATCTTAACTGAAAAACAGCACCAAAACACCTATAGTACTTCTAAATCTTGTCCTTCTACAACTATTATATGCCATTGTAACGTCTACTTAACTATGTGGATTTATCTTATCTTACTGAACAAATAAAGAAAAACGCCCAAATGTGATGGAAGCTCCTCATTTCCTACTCACAAAAACAAAAACATGTATATCAACAGCTCTTAGTCTTATGGTTGGGGTGCACAAGAGGTCTACCCACTTAGAGAATAACAAAACACCGAAACTTAGAGGAAATAATTGCAGGGTCATTATTGATTCTATGCATCCTGACGAAAGGATAATAAAAGGTAAAAGGCTTGGGCCCGAGGGGATAAGATTCAGCAAAAATATGATAGTAGTTCATGGAAATACAACTCGTACTAACGGTAAAAGTTAAATCAAATCTGGATAACATCACTTACTCACTGATAGGCATGCTTTCTGGTCATTGTACATACCCTTCAGATGATGATTCATTTCAGGGGAAGAAAAATAATCTTGGTGGATAAGATGTTGGTAATGACTAAAGATTGCCGGGCATCCATTTCAATTAACCAGATTTATTACAATCCTACATTAGTGGTTCTACAAAGATAAATAAATGTCTTCATTCCAATACATATCACAACTGGAAAATGCAAAGGGATCATTTTCTAAGCTTCTTTTTCATCCTCTCAACAGCAGACCTAATAGTTTCTTCATCCTTGCAGAAAGTAAATCTGACAAGATTCTTTCCATCTTCTGGATTCAAGTAAAATACACTTGTAGGGATTGCCACCACTCCGACTTCCTTAACTAGATATTCGCAAAATGCAACATCATTTTCCAGTCCAAAAGGGGTGTGATCTACAACCACAAAGTAGGTTCCATTGGATGGGAATACCTTGAAGCCAACAGCCTTCAATCCTTCGACCAAAATAGCTCTTTTTGCCATATAATCCCTCTTTAGCTCCGCATAGTAAGAGTCTGGTGCTCTTAGAGCTACAGCAGCAGCACACTGCATAGGATTGCAGGTTGCAAAAGTGAGGAAAGCGTGTGCCTGTCGCACTCCCCATGTTAATTGTGGGGGTGCTATGGCCCACCCAATCTTCCATCCTGTTAAGGAGAATGTCTTCCCCAAGGAGTTCATCGTCACTGTCCTTTCAAACATCCCAGGCAAAGAAGCTATAGAAATGTGATCCATATCAAATGCCAACTTATCGTAAACTTCATCACTGAAAACCAGAACATCATTCTCAATGCAAAGAGATGCAATGGAATTGAGTTCCTCTCGAGTAAACATCTTTCCAGTAGGGTTGTGAGGCGTATTTATGAGAATGGCCCGGGTATTCTTCGAGATTGTGGACTTCAACTCTTCAATAGGGACAGCAAAATCTGGAGGGCGCAGAGGGATGCTTTTGACTTTTGCACCAGCCATGGATAAAGTGGCTTCATAAGAATCATAAAAAGGAGCAAACATGATAACCTCATCACCAGGATTTATCAGTCCTAATATAGTTGCAGCAATTGCTTCTGTGCATCCAGAAGTAACAGTAACTTCTTTTTCAGGATCTACCACTAGTTCAGTATCTTTCTTAAATCTCTCAGCAATGGCAATGTTCAGATCTGGAACTCCATAACCCCGTGCATACTGATTTTTCCCATCCCTGATTGCCTGAATTGCTGCTTCCTTTACAAATTCTGGACCATCAAAGTTGGGAAAGCCTTGACCAAGGTTTATGGCTCCATGTTTGATGGCAAGCAAGCTCATTTGGGTGAAGATTGTTGTCTGAAACTTCTCTAAGCGCTTTGCAATCTAACAAACAAACGACAGTTAGCAAAGTCAAAGTAACATGTGGCTCAACTATGAACTATATGAAGTTATGGTTTATTTCCCTCATCTTTTTTTTTTCTAGATATCAAGAACAAAATAGAACTAAACTATCTTCCCTCCCCAAAAGTACCTATTTCTACAAGGCAAGATATGATCTCGGTCCCTGCACTGGATAGGAAGATTTTTTACACTATACAGGCTAGCAATAAGAATCCTAAAAAATTTGCAACTGAAGTATAGCAAATATACCCTTCACCACGAAACTAAGCAATTCAGAATGAAACATGAATATAAATTGAATTTGACCTATACTGAAAAAAAAAAGATAATTTATAGCGCGTGAATGTCCCATATATGAAAGAAAACAGCATCACGATATCAATACAAAGAAAAATGTAGCGAGTAAGAATAAAAGCTAAGATAAACAGATATTATTAACACGTTGGGATCAGCTTAATCCAAGAGGAACAATCGCCTATTCTTCTAAAACTCCTTTCCAAACTAATTAGAAGCACATGCAGCGGTCAGTGAGTGGTTAATAGAAGCATAACGTGGTTAATATTTGAGACATCTTATTTCGCTACAAACATGAAAATTTAGAGCCAAAAGGATAAACAATAACATAAACCCATATGAAGAAATATTAAAAATATGAAGGGATCTGAAAAGGGTGAACCTGCAAAGGACGATGGGTATTATGAGTGGCGGTTTCATTGGGAGTGGAAACAGAGGACATGGCGGCGGCAATGAAAGATGGGAACTTGGGGGTTGGAGGGGAAGAAGAAGCAATATTGAAAACGTTGTTGAAGTGATTTGAAAAGCTTAAAAATTTTGAAGAAGGCGTGAATCTCATGAGTGAATGGGTGCAGGTACACTGCACCTGCATCGCATCCAATTTGATTCTTTCCGCTCAATTTTTGGTTTCTGCTGACGCCGTCGATGGCTGCCACTGTGAGAATGAAATGTTACAACATACCTTTTATTTCCTTTTTTTATTCTTTTATTTTTGTAGGAACTGACGGTGATGCTAGCTTCGGATTCAATACAAACTCTCTTCCACCGTTGATTCCTTTGGTTAAGGATGGCGAGAACCACGTAGGGGTCTCTATTTCCGCACGCCGCAGTCCTAAAAATTTGTGAATACTTTTTTCATTACGTTACCTTATTTTTTATTTTTGTAGAATTTTTTTAAAATAATTGTTATTATGTTAGTTTAAGTTGAATTAAAGAGATGCCAAGGATATGCTAAAGAATTTTTTAAAAATATTTATAAAAATGATATAATATTTTTAAATTTTTTCCTCTCATCGTAAAAAGGTTTTAAATTAGAGAAGTATTTACTTAAAATGAATTCCTCTTATATAATGTAAATTTTGCTCTTCTAATTATATCAATTCTGACATTCATAATGTGAAATTATTTATCCATATTTTTGGCTGCTCAAAGAAGACAGAGAAATGTTGTATTGTCAGATAGCATTAAATAGATTATTGAACTTTATCTAAAGTTTTTCTTAAAATAAAATTATGCCAGATTTGAATTGAAGATTCCATATTACAAAGATTATATACATTACATTTGGTTTTAAAATTACTTAAAAGTATTTAATGTTCTAAAAAAAGTTATTAATTTTGAATATGCACACCGAATAGGTATTCAAGTTGTCTCAATCCCAAATTACCTTGAGGGGAGAGGGAAGGGACAGGCCAAGTATATGGAGATTAAACATTTGTCGAAAAAATAGGAACATAACAAACTTCTGAAAATAATATTAATTACTAGCAGTGTTAAGAGTAATTATTTTTAACTTAAAAATATAACTTTATGATTTTATTATGACGTATCTCTCTATCTCCTAATTACTTTAGATATTTTATTAGTTAATTTTTATTATTCTATTTGTAATGTAAAAACATTGAAATAAATAAGTAAAGAAATCAAAATTGATGGAAATAAATTAAAATTGATGGAAATAATTTTAGTTATTTTTTATATATTGTTTTCCTCAAGTACTTCAGTTGAAAACTATTCAAATTAGATCTTTATTTTTTTAATAATGTCTTTTTCATACATAGAAAATTGAGCGCTTATCAGCATGCTGAGAGACACAATAATCTATTAATTGTGTCAAATTTTGTTAGTAACGATAATTTATATCGTTTAAGCATGAATATTTTAAAAAACAAAAATCAATAAAAATTATTTAAGATTAATAATATTTCAATAAAAATTAAATAAATTAACTTTAGTATCAATTAAAAATACTAAATAAATTTAGTTATAGTAATTTAATAAACATTTTTATATCTTAAAAAAACTTCAAAATAATAAACTTAATTAAAGACATCACAATTTAAAATCCGACCAAAATTCACATTAATTACCTTGTTGATTAATCTTCCTAAAATTTAAAATCGAACGCATTGATTCTTCCAAGCGGCTTGGGCAAATGGGTTTTCTTGCAACAGAGTCCATCCAAATAGAGTAGGAGGAAATCTTTGGGCTGTACAGAACCATTACTGCAAAGGAGCCCATGCATGTTAATGGCCATCCTTTGTGATATGGGCTTTGGCCCAATTTAATATTCTTATGTAATGACAAAAAAATAAAAACAAGGATTACTTATTGCAAACTTTTTTTTTCCTAACTGCGTATTTTCTTCTTTCTTTTTTATCTTCAAACCATCCTTTTCAATTTTTTTTAAATTTAAATTACGGAAACTATGTAAAAATATAAATTTCAGAACTATAAAATTGACAATAAAAAATAATGTCATTCTTTCAATAATGTTAAATAATATTTTAGGAATTTTTCAAAAATATACGGGTATAAAAAGTAAAAATAAAATAAAAATACATTAAGTAATATCCAAAAAAGATCGACATTCCTTACTCTTAATTCAAACCGAATTAGATTGTAGACAAAAAAATATGACCAATAATAAAAAGGTGAAAGATGAATGCTTAAGGATATGTTTGATTTCTCTTTTAAAAAGAGTTTTCAATAAAATGAAATTTGAGTCTTGAATTTTTAGATGAAATTAAATTTGAGTCTTGTCATCCAATCCAATAAAATTTAAATTTAAAACAGATTAAGCTTTCAAAAAGCCTAAAAATAATCTATACTACACTGAATTTAAACACTACTTTTATAAGTCTAAAATGAATCTGGATTTTTATTGTTAGTTAAAATTCGATGCCCGCAGCAAGCTAGCTCAAACGACCGAAATAACTTATTTGGTCGGTTCTATAAATAATTAAATATCATTTTATAAAATAAAAAATATACTTTGAAAGATTGAATAATAGATTTAAGCAATTTTTATATATATATATATATATATATATATATATATATATATATATATATATATATATAAAGTCTTGTCACCATGATTTCTTCCCGAAGCCATTCTACTAAAAAACACAGCTTCGTTAATTAAAGTTTGTCGATTATCTTCTTGCTGTTGACCAATCTATTAATCAACAGATAAAGATTTATATAAGTTTTGATTTGTAGAAATATTATTATTATCTTTGAAATTAATCTTTATAAAAAATTTGTTAATATTTAAAAAGAATGTTTATTGCTTTAAAATGTTGTTAAGAATTAAGATTTAGTTATTCACAGAAGCTAATTAATACTAGAGAGTAATAACAACATTAGTAGAGATTAAAGCCTTATTTCTTGTCACTAATGAATTACGAATGCTACATGCATACACATGTCACTTTTAATTTTCCATATGACCCTGTCAGTAAGAAACAAACGTTTCCTTAAGATTGATCAAACGTTTTAAATACTATATACGTTGAGGAGATTTCTTGATTTGCGTAAATATATAATTTTGTAGTTCATACCCATACTTATGTGATTGTATTAAATGCAAATTCCTGAGTAATGTACAGTCACGGTATGAGCCATTTGTTTATTTTTATTATTATTACTGGTAAATGTGATTATTTATTTATTTTAACGTGCATTTAAGATATAACATAAAATTTTATATAAATATTTTTTATTAAAAATAATATAATATTATAAAATTTATTATACATCCTTGTACACAAATTTGGAAATAATTTTATTAACTTTAATTTCTAAAGTTAAGTTTAAATGCTTAAAATTGATTTTTTTTTATTAAAAACTTACTTACTATATTAAAATATAAAATATAATAAACATTTTAATAAAAATTACTGTACTTAATGGCTTACATTCGTTGCTAAAAATTGAAGTTAAAAAAACTGATCAAGTTACTTTGACCCATGTTGCTCCCGGTGACAAAAGAAAGAAATAGGGCAGGTTGCTATTAATGAAGTGGGTAACAGGTATTACGATTTCAAGTGTAATTTTCGGATGCAATTTTAAATTTAAACGTTAGAATATTTTAAAATATATTATTCAATGAAATTTAATATTACGTTAACATAATTTTAATTGATGAGATTTAATAAAATAAAAAATATGTCACTATAGAAGACTTATTTCTCTTGAATTCGTGAGTACTCGTGTTTAAAAAATTATTATATTATTATTATATACATTTAAGAAAATATGTTTCTAATATTATTATTTTATGATATTTTTAATATATGTTTAATTTAACAATATATTTTTATTATTATAACCAAAGATTATATTATTTTATAATTATAATTTATATAAGTTAATTAGTTTAAATATTATTATTTTTAAATTTGTATGAATTTTTTAATAAATATCCATGGATATGTATGAATATATGTGAGTATTGATTAATCCGTTTAAAACTCGATTATCAATTAAAACCTATGGTACACGTTATAACAAACGTTTAATTAATCTCTAAATCACTGCCGCACTGTAATTTTCTTTTTTACTTGGAGTGTCGAGGACTGAAATTTGAGATCGATAAGAAGATCCCAACAAATGAAAAGAGACTATCAGTTTTTCAGGCAATTGTTATATGGATATCGGTGTGTACTTGCATGTTGAAACGGAAGGAACAAAGGGCTATAATTTAAACAATAACTTTCTTATTTGAATGTTTATATTCTTAAAAATATTTAAAAATTTGTATCTGAAAATGCTCATTAAAATGAACAATGAACTAGAGAATTTAAAATAATTATATGATGTTTCTTGTTTCCTTTTCGACTTTATTTCTGTACGTAAAATTTCATAGTCAGTGAGATTTACTCAAAGTAATTCGTTGTTTCCCTCAATCTTTTTAATTCCATCCAAGTAAGCGTTCCCTATGCTGTGCGATTATCATACATTAAACGACGTAATAAGCTTCACACTTTGGATGAACCGTGAATGAACCCCTGCTATCACTGTAAAAGTAATATACTCAAATTTATAAGAGCTTCTTAGTTATAGTTAAGACATTTACAATGTAAAAATATTAATCTTTACCAAGTTTATATCTGTTTATGAAGAAGTTACATGTTTTTCTTTTAAATGTTAAAGTATACATTCAATTCATTTTAACTTGTGCAAAGTTTAATTCATTTTATTTTTCTTGTTTTATATGTTTTTGTTAGAAAATTTATCAAAATTAATTCTACACCTCTAATTTATAAGCACCCAAACAGTAAGAACACTTCTTTAATATAATTTATGTCTCTTTGTCTTTTTCTTTCATCTGTTGTATTTATTATTTATCTCTTATAGCTCTATATTTGATTAGGCATAAACATCTCAAAGGGTGTCTACCAAATATTATCCTTGACTCCATATATAGTACATCTTGTTATGTAATTAACGGGCTTGTTTGTATGTGTTAAACTCTATTGTACATATAATGTTTTCGCTATCTGTGTTTCCAATGGATAGTCGATGATCACTTTCACTAGTCTTAGGAGTTGAGAAACACTATGCAGCCACCTCTCAACAATCTTAATCGATCTCCATAAGCAAAGCTGGTTTCTTAGGTTCTCTATTATTATCACGCGCGCTTATATATATATATGCACACAGATTTTTAATAATGATATTCATATGCTTACATAATGATTTTATTTTATTTTTTCATTCCATTCCTTCCCTTTTTGTTATCATATTACCTATTTTTTAAAATTATTTTAATTCACATATTTTTGCAACCTGTCATTAGAAGAATATCTTGATCAAAATTAAAAATTAAAACTAATAAATTAATATAATATTTCAACAATACAAGGAGCCTGCAGGTAATAAATAATATATATTTTCAGGAAAATGGAGACAAGCTACGAATAATTCAAATTACAATGGCTGTGGATGTCCGAGAGGTTTTAAAAAAAAAGACACTAATACAAAAACATAAACCACATCGTATTTTACAATGGAAAATTTAAAAATGTTCTTGACAATACTATATTGATATGATTGTCCTATCCTCAGCTGCTAGACCCAATCTTGAGAAAGCGAAAAAAAATAAACACAGTAAAATGCATTTCCATTATAACCAATAAAATAATTTATTTGACTACTTTAATTTTAACTCCTACACGTCTTCATTGAAAAATTATCCAAATTAAGCTTCAATAAACTATATTCATGATTTCAATTTTTTTCTATATAATTTAAAGTATTTATAAAATATAATTTTAAACAAGTGTATTAGAAACAGTCTTTTTTTTTATGGTCCTTTATATTTTCTCCTATTGGTTAATTGACCATATTAGAATCGGGTAATGTGAAATTTCTGTCAATATATTAGACTTTATCATTATATTTTTTTTCTGATTAATGATAGTTTTTTCATAATAAAAACTGGTATTTATAGAGGTTTTGTATAAAAAATTATACAACAAATAAAAAGATAAAAAAAAAAGTATAGATCAAATAATTAACATGATACAAAAAATTAAAAAGTAATATTATAAAAAAGTTCAAATTTTGTTACAAGAATATCGTAACTCTTGCGTATTTACGTGGGCATTGGATATTCACTGACAAAAAGTGTACCTTTTCAGGGACCAAGAATTTGATGACAGAAAGAAATGAGTGTGAGAGAGAGAAAATGATTGGGAGGTCTTGTGATTTAGATGGCTAAGAGTTACACACAGAGTGGACTGACTGGTTAGCAGAGATCCTGAAACTACCGTAAATGGAAAATAACTACGACGTGGTGTTTTGACTTATTGGAATTAGTTTCCATTTATGGAGGTCGAAGAAATGAAAACAAAATAGAAGGGAAATGAATGGTGGCGAATGATTTAGCTACCTACAACAACTGTACAGTAAGAAATTAATCGGAGTGAGAAGAACAAGTCCAAAGGGAGGCAGAAAGCAAACGGCGTGATTTCCAATCCAACACCAGCTTATTGCAACCCAATTCCTCCACCCTATATCCATCGTTAAAAAGACTCAACAACAGCTTCGCCTGGCAATGATTGGCGAAGCTTATCGGAACTCCGCTGAAACCCTCCGCACCCAACCACTCCCCCCACGACCCCCTGTCCTCCTCTTCCCCTGTTCGGTATATCCGGGCCAAAGACCCCAATATCCGGGGCCCCAAGAAGACCCGCTCCACCAAGGCCCTGGCCCGCCTCTGCATCGGAAACCCAGCCTCCAGCGAGTCAAACACCGCCGAATAGTGGTGAAGCGAGTCCATGAAGCGCCCCACGAACCCTCCCACAACGGATCCCACCTCCTCCTCCACCAGCGTCACCAGCCTCGGCCTCAACGCCTTCGCTCCACTAAAAAACGATTCAACTGAATCGGGCGTGCGGTAACTCAGATGCGGCAGGTTCAGCATGCAGTTGAACACCAAAGCCTCTCCACGAACCACCTTCAGCGTCGAAGGCCGAAACGTTTCGTCCGAATCCAATCTACACTGGTGAAACGAGAACGGTTGTCCAAGAGAGGCGGCGAACGCCGTTAATCTTCGCCCCGTCTCTTGCACGGTGGCGATGGATTTCCGTCCGGTGCCGGTTCGTGACAATGCGGTGATGCGGAGGTGTGGGCCGTTGTTGTTGGAGGCTAGGGCCTGCATGAGGGAGGCCCACTGGACCCCTTCCATGATGTCGTAATCGACGATGTGGACACGGCGTTCGTGGGCCACGGCTTCGAGGATGGCCTGGTTGGCGGTGAAGTGTCCGAACTTGACGTAGGGAGACATGTCCTGGAGCAGTTGGAAAGCTGCGAGCATGTCGTTTTGATGATGATATTGGTCGTCTCGATGGTGGGGCCCGCCAGTGATGCAACAGTTCTTGTTGTTATTGTGCGCACCCCCTGCGCCTTCTAGTAGACCCTGCAGCGCGTCCGTGAAGTACGCGGCGAGCCTCTCCATGTTGGAGCCGTGGGCGTGTGACACCAACTCCTTGAGCCGAACCAATATCACTCGAGCCAGGTCACGGCTCTTGGTGGCACCGGTGAGGGACTCCGCCGCAGCCATCAACAGATGCACCAGCCTCAGGCCCTTGGAGTCGTCGCCTGTTGGTGCTGGTGGCGGTGCTGTTTCTTCGTCGACGTCGTCTTCCTCCGTGATGGTGGCGGAGTTAGTGGGGGCGTTCTCGGGGCTGAGGTGAAGGGCGTCGTCGACGATGGAGTCGATGAGGTGGTGGAAGTCGTCTTGGGAACCGGCAAAGGTGTCCCAGTTGACGAGGGGGGACCAGTGGTTCCAGTTACAGGCGTAGTCGTCGTCGGAAGTGGGGGTGTTGGTGTTGGTGATGGTGCTGTATCCGGAGAAGTCGAGGTCGTGGATGGTATCCATGTCCATGTCCATGCTTGTTCTTGAGCTGAGTTGACTAATTAAGCTCGTCGTCTCAAGAAGACGGAGCAGAACGGTAGGTATGTTTTGTATATGTTGTAGGGAGGGACAGCGTGAGAGATTTATATAGTCGAGAGAGGGAAGCACAAATATCATCATAATTAAATTGTCAACAAATTTATTTTCACAAAAAGAGATATGGAGGAAATCAAAAAATAAAATTAAAAAAATTAATGATGTGATAGAAAAGAAGAAAGAAAAAGAAATATAAAAAAAGTGAGTGTAAAAATATAATAATTTTATATTATTTTTATACTTTTTTTATTTTATTCATTATTATTTTTTTCTTTTTCTTCATTTAATACACATTTATTGAGTATAAAAATATAATAACCAAAAGATTATTTTTTGTCGTCGTAAAATAAGTGAAAATAAAAGAAATAAAAAAATGAATGTAAAAAATATTAGGAAGAAAAAAGATTAGTTTTACTGAAGAAGGGTTGGAGCATGGGACAATGGTGTCCAAAAATTGATCGGTGATTGAAGAGTTATGTAGGCTATGACTAACATGACTGCCCAGCTGATGTTAGCTCGATGTTATTAAATATTCGTAATAATTACGAGTGCCGATTTTATACTCCCACTGATATTGATCTCGGACTTCAACTATGTTCATTCATTATTATTTATTACTATGCCGATGCAACTTTTTTAAATTACTCACAACCCCTTCTACTTCTATGTAACACTCCTCAAGCCTCACATTTTCAAACTTACCTCACCCCTTTGCCTTTGCTTATTATTATGCGAGCCTTTTCTTTTATCGGCTAACTATTTCCGTTTTTATTTCTGTGCCTATGAAAATATGATACGAAACGTAAAATCTATTTTGCAAGAAGTTTCTAAATTAAAAATAAGCATTCAATAAATATTAATTAATATCTTCAAAATATTCTTTATGAAATAAAAAGTTAAAAAAATTATAAAAAATATTATTAATGTATTTTCATAAAATTTTAAATACACCTTTATCATAATTTAATAGAAATTTCTTATTATTAATTCTTTGACTGATATCTTTAATGTACTTAGTTCATAAGATTCATAACCTTTATGTTTTCTATAAAAATTCCTTGCAAAAAATCTTATTATTATATCATGGCAACTGTAGTGAGCGTTATATTCATGAAAATTCTCTTAATCGAATACTTGTTCAGAATAACGTCGTAAACCAAGTAGACACTTTATTTGATTTGAAGGTGATTCATTTGACTTTATGTATGAGCAGTAGGCAGTTTTCATGCCTGGTTCATTTTATTTTATTTTTTAAATAAATGAATTAATTTCCTTGGTTTTATTTTGCATTTAAAATAAAGTTATTAAGCGAGATGTTTGTAATCAGTTAGAAAAAATGTTAAATGAGAATTCGATATATATTCAACTTTGTTTCTATCATACTTCTATATTTTCATCCACTTGGTATCCCTCGCTTCTCAAACATACATTTTCTCCAAATATTTTTAAATAATCATTTTTTATTATTATTTACGTATACAAATGTTTCGATCGTTTCTCAAACGACAAATAGACATTATTGGTTTATTCTTGAATAAACTATCCCTACATAAAACTCAAGCATCAGGTGACAACAATTGATTAATCGGCAGATTTGAACATGAGAGGAATGCCATTCAAAATTTCTGTTCCGGGTATATAAATAGTTAACTAGATGAAACAAAAATTAGGAATAGAATGAGTAGACAAAACTTAATCACAGTTGCTCTTGCATGATGTGCTTATTTGTTTTTAAAAAGTAAATCTGCATGTGCTGATTTATTAACAGCTAGAAGTGTAAAGTTAATCAGGGAATAGGGGGCATAATAAACTATATTATGAATAGGGTGAGAACCAGCAAAACGTGGAAGAACAAGGAGCAAAAGAGCAAAAGTGGAACCAAAATTTAAAACCACAGTTCTAATGGTGTTGGGGAGTGGTGAAGTAATTTTGATGAAATAAGTCAATATCATCAGAAACATCCTATAGAAATCATCAAAATGAAAGCTAAGTTTTGTTGAAAAGTTTAATTTGAACCTCATACGATTCATCGCGAAAAAGACATATATAAACCTCAATATCCCTTAGTCATAACTAAAAGGGAAATGTTATTAAAATTAATGAAACCCTGTCAAGCCTATCCCACTGCCTTACCATTTGATTGTGACACGTCATCTTGTCCGTCCCTATAGTACCCGGCACCTTCTCATTGGTTGAGAGTCTCTTGATACCACGTCATCACGTTGGGAATGTCTGCTCCTGTTCCATTGGTCCACGTTGACAGGGGCTCCACACAACCTGGAAGATAAAATAAAAATACTCTCTGATTCTGATTTCCAGCCAAATTACACTCGCGGCTTCAAGGTTATTATTCCTTGGTTAATGAATGAAATTAACTCTTTATTCTTTTGCTTAATTGTGGCTGATACAGTAGAGAATTTTCATTACTAACTCGTAGGTTTAATTTCAGTGTCTAACTCTAAGGGCACATATTTTTTGATAACGTATTCAATGACATAAATCTTCAATTTGGGTTTTTTAAATGACCAGTCGACGCCCAGTATAGAATAATTGATGCCGCGAATAGATGCAATGAGTCAAGTTGGCTTAATTAGATGTGGAAATTACTTTACTTTCATTTAATTATGAAACTGTGTTTGTTAAGAGGTACAACCAAGCACCTCGAGATAGACGTAAATGTATAGCTCTATTAGAAGGCCCCGCGAATCATGCCAATTAACACCATAACGTGGTTGTGTATGATACTCATATTATCCCTTTCTACATACCTAAAGTTACTACATATATATAGTTCCTATACTGCCAATGAATATTAAGTCATAGCCCAAAGCATTTTAATTCTCTTTCGTAGATATACTTGTAAATATGCCATTGGAGAAGACTTTGATTTGCTACACTGGTCGATTTTGCCATGTTCATACTATTTCATGAAAGCATCAATTACAGTAAATTAGTGACTTTCTTTTAAAGTATTATACATGTATTGTTAAATTTAAATAACTTTTAAAACATTACAGATATATTATATAATTTTTTAAATTTTAATACTTTATAAATTGAAAAATATTCATTGCTTTTATACATGGAAGAATATATGAAATTTTGGTTTGAATGTTACATAAGTAAAAAAAAAATGTCATTTCGTTCCATTACTATAGCATATGCCAGTATTATTTATCATCTCAATAAAAAGTAATCTTATTAGAGTTGAGAAGTAGAATTCAGAATTATAGGTTAAATTAAAATAACTTATATTAATTAATCTACATGAATACGTCAATATTATGGACTATATGTGAATAAAAATTATAAAAAATAAAAATAATAATTAAGAATAAAAAGGACCTGCTTGAGATAATTTTTTATTTTTAAGATTCTAAATTAAATTAAAATTTTAGCCTCTTTAGTTTGATTGTATATGATTATATTTTTATTTAATTATTTAAAAAATTACATTAATTTGGTCTCTCATTTTGATTTTATTTTTTTAATTTGAACTTTTATCTTGTATAAATATTTATGGTTTATTATAAATTTAAAATAATTATTAATTTTTAAAATTAAAAAAATTGAAAGATATATTAAGATATAAGATTAAAATTTAAATAGGACAAATTTTGTGAATTTTATTTTGAATAGAAGTTTAATATTGTTGGATTATGGTTTTAATTGGTTCAATTTACAAAGATTTAAAAGAAAAATATGAAAATCAAGAATTTGGACAAAAGAAAATTAATCGGAAAAAAATACTTAATTATAAAATAAATAAAACTTACTTGACTAAAAAAATCTTGAAAACCAAAATTATACATATTGAAACTAAAGGAAAAAAAAAAAGGGAATCCAAACATTTGTCTAAAATATTTTTATAAAACAAAAGAAAGAAAAATATATTTAATTAAAATGTCTTTAGGATTTTTTTTTTTTCTTTTATATAATATCCTTTAGCCACAAATAGAGCCTTCCATGTTTTATACTTTTTTTCAAGCAGAGTGATTCACCTCAAACAGGCCTTTTTACTTCAAAGCAATGTAGATGTAGCATCCGGTTCTATTTACCTCTACATCTAAGCCTACAAGTAGTTGCTACGTACCCTATACCCTACTCTCTTTAATTAGGACATTGACATTGTTCTCACCTTACACTTCTGCCAAAAACAATTAGCAAGAGACGTCGATCGCATGCTCAACGATGACAGTCGAGCACAGATTTGACGGACAACACGATATCTTTAATAAATTAATTACATACAAGTATTCTCAGAAGTTAAAACATAAATAAAATAAAATTATTATTAATAAACATCATTTTTAATCATTTTTAAAATAGTATTTTTAAAAAGATAGTCTCAAATTTCTTTTTTCTTAACTTGACAAAATTATTTACGTAACTTCTTAAATAACTAAGATGACATCATTAATCTCTGTCTAACAAAATCAATTTTAAAAAACTTTTTTTTTTTGGTTAAGTTGGTCTGTAAAAAATGATTATAGTATTTAGAAATGTATAAATTTACGTTAATATTTTTTTTTAAAAGTTTATTTAATGGTAAGAATAAGAGAAATAAAATAGAATAAACTTGTCTTATATATTTTAATTTAATATTTTTAAATCAATAATATATATAAATTTATCTCTTTGATTGTCATATCATATTGACCTAATATAAACGTTATCTTGATGGGAGAGTGGGATTAAAATGTTTCAGATAAGATAATATTTTTCTCCTTTCTTGCCCTCCATTGAATCATTAACCATTTCATTCGTCTCTACTTAAATTTACTACCATATATAGCCATCGTTTTCATCTTCTAATGTCGCCATTATCTCGATTCATTTAAAAATTAATATACATAATTAATGCAAATATATCACATTATTTAATAGTTAGATTAAACAAATAATATTTATCAAAAGTAATTTCAACTAATTATTGAAAT